TGAACTCACGGACACTTCCCAGATCCTCGTGGTGCTAAGTCTTCACGGACAGTGGCCTACTACTAGTAGCGATGGGATCAAGCTTCAACACGAAGTTGCAATGCCGTTCTTTGCGTGCAAATCGCGCCAATGAGTCGAACCGTTAAGCCACGGAGAGCCAGCCCGAACTGTGTATGTACGCTTTCAATACTGATAACAATTCTCTTCAGCAGAGGTTTAGAAGTTAAGGCTGGTAGTCGTCGCACGCTTGTCCAGCCTCGTAGCGCATTTCGGTCGTCCGGGTTGTTGCGACAGCTCCTGCGGTCAATCCAAGGATCATCACCGCCAGTGGGTGCCGGCCACGTGGGACATAATGATCCGGATGCCGGGGCTCGCCGGCCCGGAATCACGGCGATCATCACCTGGTGCGGCGTCCTTGTTCTGATTGCGTCGATCTGAGCTGTAAAGTAAAAATGGAACGCGAGAAGGTTCCGAGTCTAGCAGCAGTAGTAGTCACCGCCGTCTACTAAAATTCTTTGCAAAAAACGGATACGCTACTTCTTTGGCTTCTGTAACCGTCTCTCCATCCCTGCTGCACGCGTTCGCCCACCTCAGGGAAGGTCAAGGCGGGGCCGAAGCGCGACGATTATGGGTACCGCGGAGCCGCCCATCGGGATCTCCCCGCATTGGGGGACGCCGTGGTGCGAGAACAAGTGCGGCGTGCTGCATCGGCCGATACGTATGTTCGTGCTGTGGTACGGCGTATTCTCCGACGCTCAGAAGCAGCCAGTTCGCTCCTTCGTCGCATCGCTCAGCCCCAACGCTGACACCGCCGTCACTGGTGGGTAGCTCCGGGAGGATTCGCAGAGAGACCACGAGCCTAAGAAAACCCTCATGCGTACATGTGTGTGCTACACCTAATGTACAGTTCTATTATGGGTGTATCTTCCAACAGCCCCCTCTGTCTCCGCCGCTACACCCAGAAATAATTCGCCCCAAGCCCCAATCATATAGAGTCTCGTGAATGAGGAAAGTCGTGTAGCATGTATCGGCCAAGGTGTTATGTCGTTCTAAAGGAATTCAGTGGTGTATCTTATTCATTCTATTCGTTTGTTTCAGTTCCATTATGGTGGAACATCAACCGGCTCTACTACGACCAGGATGGTAACCACATTTCGCAATCCGTGACGTGGGGCGGCGAAGTGGAGGACAGGGCGTACAGTAAAGGCAAGACGCTGCCCACAAGCCATATAGAGGACCTGCTTGGGTCGGCCATTACCAGCCAACAATTGCTGTACGACCCCCGTGCCGTCTACTTCCTCCTCTCGGACTCGTTAGTCACTCAGGTGTGCTGAGATGTAATGCCGTATTGTTGAAAGTGGCATGTCCAATGGTGATGTGTCAAAGGTCGTCACTTGAACGTGCGCCTTGCAAAACATGTGTGGCTTGGACCGCATGGTCTGTGATTATATTCCTCATTTGCCACTAGTTTCTCTCTGCTGCTTCTGCAGAAATGGGGCGACAAGCTCACGTCCAAGAAATTATGCACACATTTCTGTGGGTGGCATGAGTACGCATGGGCCGACAATTACGGAAACTTCATCTACTCCTGGGCCGGCAAGGCGGACCTGATAGTGAGTGAAGCCTATCGATCACGGCTCTTCAACCATTCCAGCATACCTTGTTTTGCGGCCTATTCTCACTTGAACCACCCACTCATCTACTCATATATTCTCTTTCTCGCCTGTGCAGTGCCCCGCAACCTGCATTCCCAAAGAGATTCGCGGCGACGCGTCCCTGTCCCCCACGGGTGACCCCGGCATGGATGGCCTGGTCGTCCACGAGTTTGCAGAGGCCACCTCCAGTCCCTTTGTTTCCACGTGGTTCGATGGGGAAGGCTATGAGAATGCCGACAAGTGTGCCTGGAAGTGAGCAACTCCGCCTTACCCCTCAACGTTTCCAGTAATGATGCCCCGCCCACCTCCCACTCAACCCCTTTCTCTCTCCTGCCCTACTCCTTTCCACCTAACAGGTTCAACCCCCTTAGCACTGACGCCTCTGCCATCAAGTACAACCTGGTGGGAGTAGACGGCACCAAATTTCTCATACAGCAAAACTGGAACCTGGTTTCTGGCTCCTGTGCAGTAACTGTACCATACGCACTCCCCTCACCTACTAGCCCTCCCTTACCTCCCTCACCTCCCCCTCCCCCCACTCGCCCTCCATCTCCGCCTTCACCCCCTCCTCCACCTAGCCCCCCACCCCCTCCTCCAAAACGAGCACCACCGCCGCCAAAGAATCCGCAAAAAAAGGGTTTGGGCTGTTGGGAACAATAAGTCTTAAGCGCATCTGTCGTGTCGAAACTCAGGACACATAGCGAAGCAGTCCAAATAGAAGCATTGCGAGTCAACCCTCGGAAGTTAGGGTAACCGCCTGAAGGTTACGGGAAGGTCAAAGGTCAGCGACCTTTGACTTGACCAATACAGCGCGACAGCAATGACACACAACTGACTCGACATTGAGCAGTTGCCCGAGTCGCACTGTATCGAATCGCAACAGCAAGGTAGTTTAATTACATCTATTCGTATTCCTTGTACTCTTATATAAAGCTTTGTACTTGTCTGTTTTAATCAACTTACTTTGCCCTCACATACCAGCGCGAGGTGGTTCAAGGCTTACTTATTCAACGCTTCCGCTATTACAATCCTACTCAGACTTAAACTCTACAAAGATCCTAAGGGCACTTCAGCCCAACATGGGCGACATATTAACCAGGATATTTAAGCCCGGAGGGTAACCTCGTTCTTGAATATACTTGCTTCCTTGTTTAGAACCAGCTTGTTTTGTGAAATGTTCCAAGTTGGCCGCCATATTCCCTTATCCAGCTGAAGGAGTAGAATGAGCCTCCATTATCCAGAGCTTGTAACGTTGCTGAGGGCGCGTGTCTTTTGGTGTAGACGTTCGGAATAAAGTTGGTGAAATTTTCCAACTTATTTCCTTCTGCGCACGCACGAAAATTCACGAACTCGACGACAGCAACGAGGTACAACGTACCTGGCTACTGAAGCCAGATACGTTTACGAAACGCACCGCCCTACCAGGTAACCTACGAAAGTGTAGCGCGACTCGATATTTACTGTTTGGAGTTGAGCTTCGATATTTACCGCGTGATACATGTGAAGCGTGGAACAGCGGATCGAGCAGAATGAATCTATATATTCGAGCCTAGGTCGACCTAGGTTCAAACGAGTTTTGCAAAATACTGTATAAGACACGCGCCCTAAACCAATCTGCTTCTGCGACAGTTCGACCTGTTCGCAAGCAGCAGGTGCTCGCCAGCTCTGTTGACCACGATGCGGAACATGTGAAGTGTTGTAACAACCCTGCGAAAACAGTTGCGACTCATCAAACCCCGCAGCGCAGCCGTGTAACTCCGCATGTGACGCTCGCCTTGCCTTCTGCGGGAGGCATGTTAAACAGTAGCGTTGACTAACAAAAGGCTTGTCGCCTTGCCAAAGTTCATGCGACCCTGTGACTCAATGTCATTTGCAACCACAACTGACTGTCACGACTTTCAGCTGGTTTCGCGGGGACACCCTCGCAGTGCTGCAAATGGACGATCTCGTAGATTGGTCGCTCGTCGCCTCGAACACTGCGAATACAGTACAGTACCTGGTTACCCTAAGCCTTTGCGGTACAGTCGATGCCTTTCCGAGTCGCATGCGTTTCCGATTTGAGGTACACACTGTTCTGTACACCCGATTTGAACACAGCAAGCGTTGACATGTCAACATTTGGGTGCCATGAATGGCAAACAAGGAAATGCCATGCAAGGATGAAGCCACTTCGTACCAGGATGGTTGCTGCAGTTGCGCTGCGTACCAGGTTGTTGTAACCCCTCACCACCAACCAAACGCCATTCGCACCAGACCAGACCTGATGAGGTGAGGGCGGGTCGTACTTTTTCTTCATGGTTACCTGAGGAATTAGAAGTTCTATGTGGCGGACACATAAACCACCACGCTCAAGCGTAGTTGAACGTGATCAACCACGCTGTTTGAAACTACCAAGAGAACGTATACCCCATGACTCATCGGATGAGAACATCTACCCCCTCCTGTGTTCCCCTGCCCCATGATGAGAACATCTATCAGGCATCAGAGGAGGAAGGCCATACGCATCATTCTTGTTCAGTACAAAAAGGCACGTTCACACATACAACGTGCAGCAATCAGCGATTACTAATCGGTCTGGACTCAATGCACCTCGTAGTCAATCCATATGGCCTCATTCTCCAGAATCACGTGCAACTCGTCTGCTATATTGTACTAATCCACTGCGTGCCTCTAAGCTACGGAAATTAGCATTTCTTGTGAATTCATCCGCACGAAGAACCTTGTGAACTCGCTGACAATTCCAGCTCTCGTGGCGCAGGATTCACGGGCCTACTGCTAGTAGCAATGGGATCAAACTTCAAGTGGATTTGCCGTTATTTGTGTTCGAACTGCGGCATGAGTCAAGGTGTTAAGCCACGCCGGAGAGTCAGATCGCTGTGTGTGTTTGCGCTTTCAACGCTACTAGCAGTTCTCCTCAGAGGAATTCTAAAAGTCAAGGCTGGTAGTAGTCGTCGTATTACTAGCAACTCGACTCCTCAAACGCTCGTCCAAACGCCTCCAAGTGCATTTCATTCGTCCGGATTGTTGCGACAGCACCTCTGGCCGACAGCAATCCAAGAACCCGCGCCGCTGATGGGTCATCACAATCCAAATACTAAAGCTCACCGCCCTGGAATCGCGCCGACCACCACATGGTGCGTCCCTGTTGACCACGTCAGCTGCCTCAGGCTGAGTTTGTATAAGACCGGAATGCCTGAGCACCACCTCCTACTAAAATTCTTTGTGAACAAAGAACACGCCCCGTTCCCGTGGCTTCTGTAATCATCTCCAGCCCTGCTGTATGCGTTCACCCATCTCAGGGAAGGTCAAGTCGGCACGGTGACGACGGACTCCCGCGCGACAATCATGGGTACCGCAGAGCCCATCGGGATCTCCCCGCATTGGGGGACGCCGTGGTGCGGGAACAGGTGCGGCGTGCTGCATAGGCCGATCCGCGTGTTCGTGATGTGGTACGGCGTGTTCTCCGACGCTCAGAAGCAGACGCTCCGCACCTTCGTCGCATCGCTCAGCCCCAACGCTGACACCGCCGTCACCGGTAGGCGGCCCTGGAAAATTCCTTCGGCTCAAGACTTACCAAGATGTCATGTCTTATAATTAATCGTAAGTGGCGTTTCCCACTCATTTACTTGTTTGTTTCAGTTCCATTGTGGTGGAACATCAACCGGCTCTACTACGACGAGGATGGCAACCACATATCGCAATCCGTGATGTGGGGCGGCGAGGTGGAGGACAGGGCGTACAGCAAGGGCAAGACGATGCTCAAAAGAGACATAGAAGTGCTGCTCGGATCGGCCATTAGCAGCCAACAACTGCCCCACGACCCCCGTGCCGTCTACTTCCTCCTCTCGGACGAGTTTGTCAACCAGGTGTGCTGTGATGCCCTACTCTTAAATGCAGCATGTGGTGTGGTGCTGTGTCAAAGGACATGACATGTGTGGCTGGACCACATTGCCTGTTACTTTATCTTCATTTGCCACGTGTATCTCTCTGCTGCGTCTGCAGAAATGGAACAACATGGCCACGTCTCCGGGGTTCTGCTCGGGCTACTGTGGGTGGCACTTCTACGCATGGGCCGAAGATTATGGCGAGTACATCTACTCCTGGGTCGGCAACGCAAACCTGCTCGTGAGTGGAGCCTATCGAGCTCGAAACTTGGTTTGCAGCCAGACCTCCCCTAAACACTCAGTTTCTCATGTTCTTCCTCGCCTGCGCAGTGCCCAACATCCTGCCTCCCCAGGGACATCCGCAGCGACGCGTCTCTGGCCCCCACGGGCGACGCAGGCATGGATGGCCTGGTCTCTGTCTTCGCCCACGAGCTCGCAGAAGCGGCTTCCAGCCCCTTCGTCTCCACATGGTTTGACGGAGAGGGCAATGAGAATGCGGACAAGTGCTCCTGGAAGTGAGTGGCCCTTGTGTTACCACTTTGTGACCTGCTTATACCTTACCTTTCTGCCCAACCTCTAATACTAGCACTTCCACTCTCCACCACATTTTCAGCATTGATGCTTTTCCTCCCCTCCTTCATCCCACATCCCTCTCCTTTCCTATTCCGTTCCCACCTGACAGGTTCACCCCCCTTAGCACTGACACCTCTGGTATCAAGTACAACCTGGTGGGAGTAGACGGCACCAAATTCCTCATCCAGCAAAACTGGGACCTGGTTTCTGGCTCTTGTGTACTTACCGCCCCATACGCACCCCCCGCACCTCCTAGTCCTCCCCTACCACCCTCCCCTCCTCCGCCCCCTCCACGCCCACCATCTCCTCCTCCTTCACCCCCTCCTCCTCCTAGCCCCCCACCCCCTCCTCCAAAACGACCACCCCCGCTGCCCAAAAAACGGAAAAATAAAGGGTTTGGTGACTTCATAAACAGAATATTCCATCCAGGAGGGTAGCCATGTTGTGTATGCATTCCTTTATTTCTTTCACAGCCAACTCGCTTTGTATCATGATGGGCACCCCTTGTTTTATAAGTTGGCTAACACCTGAGTAATGATGCAGGTCATCAACTGGCTATTGGCTTGGTCTTTGCTTTCCATTCACAGAGTGCGCAGAATAAACAGTTAACAAGTCTATGATTAACTGAATGACGATACGGTGAAGTGAACTAATAAAGGGAATCCTAGCTCGACAGGGACGTCGGGAGAAGATGGCTCGGAAGGTTGGCGCTTGGTGCGGGGGCGACTCGAGAGTGGTTTGGGGCGGAAATGTGAGCCAGACCAAAATGACGCATGGACCTTGGGATGTACTCCGTAAAGTGCAAGTGCACGAAGGAAGTGTGATATATCATACGTGGGTAACCAAAAATAACGGATACATGTTGTAACTGTCAGAATCCCAACCACTAAGACCATTGGGATAAAATGGCTTGTTTGTGTAGTGGGTCAGTGCGCCCATAACCCCCCAAGCGAACACGCCTGTAACCCCCCTAAGATCAATCGGGGATCTCACAGTGCAGATCTTCTGACAGTAACATTAACGAAACGGCTGTGTGTATGTGTGTGTGTGTGTGTGTGTGTGTGCGTGCGTGCGTGCGTGCGTGTGTGTGTCTGTGTGTGTGTGTGTGTATGTGTGTGTCAGAATGTTGTATTTGTCTAGCCTGCTGTGAGGATCTAGGATCGAGCTCAGAAAAGAGAGTTTGAATTGAATGATCACCTGGGTACAACACGAGGCTATATATAGGCTCGACACAAGGCCCTGTAACCAGGTGTTACGCGAAGGTTCTGCGGGTCGCGAAGCGTCCCGAACAGATCCTTCCCGAATTCGGTAGAAGGCAATTCGATGGCAACCGAAAAGCCAGAATTCGGTGCACGCAACCTAGCTCGTGCTATAACTATAATAAAATATAGGAAAACACATAGCCTAGGAAATCAAGCAATTCATGCATGCATATAATTATCATATGTTAGAAATAGCATAATAAAGTAAAGGCAAGCAAGCACAGCTGGCATAAGCCGTCATTCTCTCACACGTCCCCCCCTCAAAGCGGGGTGGCGTGAGAAACACCCTGCTTGACAAGATAGTCATTGAGAGCACGGCGTGCGTTGCCCATATCAGCTTCTGCAACCCAACTATCCTCAGTGGGGTCGTATCCCTTCCAGCGTATCAGGAACTCGAGGGTCTTGCCGCCGCGGCGCCGTAGAGTGAGAACACGCTCCACTTCATACTCGGGTTCATCCTATATGATAACAGGTGGTGGTGGCGGGAGCTGCCGTCCCTGGAACTGTTGGTTGGGGTCCTTGTAGGGCTTCAGTAGCTGGACATGGAAAGCGTTGTGAAGCTTCCATGTATCTGGTAAGCGCAAGCGGAATGTTACTGGTGTCACCTGTGCCTCAACGAGAAAAGGACCACAGAAGCGAGGCCTGAGTTTGGATGGGAGGTGAGACATGTTCAAGTTGCGCGTGTCAAGAAGCACCTGATCTCCGACTGCTACCGAGTGATCACGTCGCTAACGATCGGCATACTGCTTCTGGGAGGTCTGTATTGTTGAACATGAATGAATGAACTAACATTGAAATGAGTACAAGTAGGAAACCCTAGAATTGTGTACCCCCTATAGGCTAACCCACTGTAGCCTAAACAGCTACAACATATATATAATGTTTGACACACCCCCATAGGCGAAGTAGGGGAGAACTAGGGGTCACAAGGCCAGCCAAATAAAGCACAGCAAAGCAAGCTCAGGGTGGATCACTAAGTCACCACACATTCCGAGCAAAAGTTCAAGGCCACAAGGCCAGTTCACATGCAAGAGTATATATATATATATATAAGGCTAGACAAGTAAGAGCAGCAATATATATATGTAACAGTACAAAGAGGGTCAAGAGGAGAGCAAGTGAGGCAAGACAGGCACAAGACCCAGCTGGGTACAGAAGCGCTGATGATCACAAGGCGGAAGTGCCTTGGTGAAGACATCAGCAGTGTTGGCCTCAGAGGCCACGTACGCAAGTCGCAACTGACCACGCTGCTGTAGCTCACGAGCAAGGAAGTAGCGGAGAGCAATGTGCTTTGTTCTGTGCTCCAGTCTCTGCTCTCGACACACGGCCAGCATGGCCTTGTTGTCTACGAACAGGACTGGAGGAGAACGAGGCGGCTCTCCAAGGTGGGTCAGCAGGTAGGTGAGCCAGCGAAGCTCCTGATCAGCCATGGCCCCTGCGTAGATCTCAGCCTCACAATTGGAGCCGAGAACAGAAGACGAGCGAGTAGCCCGCCACGAAACAGAGCTGGAACCAAGGCTGAAGGTGTAACCCTGTGACGACCGTTGCGTAGCCTGGTCGTCAGCCCAAGAAGCGTCTGCGTGACCAGTGAGGACCACTGGACTCCGCCCTCCAAGCACTAGCCCCATGCCCGACGTACTGCACAAGCAGCGCAACACCCTCTTCGCTGCAGCCATGTGCTCTGGTCGGTGTCCTCCAGGAGCAACATAGCGTGCGAGAATGCTAAGAGGGTATGCAAGGTCAGGTCGTGTGCAGGTCATCAGGTACATGAGGCAGCCAACATGCTCTGGGTACGGGCCACTCGACTCTACGGACTCATCCGAAGGCAGAGCTGAGAGCGAGTGGCGAGTAGACAGAGGAGTGGCCTGAGGCGAGGAGTACGTGAAGCCGAAGCGCTGAAGGACCTGCTGCACCATGTGTGACTGAGTCAGGGTGATGGTGCGGCGTGCTCTGTCCCGGGTGATTTGCAAGCCAAGGTAGCTGCGCAGTTCACCCAGGTCTGTGCACGTGTGTCTCTTCTGCAGCTCGGACTTCACGTGGGCGAGTCCAGCATTCTCAGTTGTGGCAAAGACCAAGTCGTCGACATACACGAGGATGTAGAACGGCGGCAGAGAAGTGTCGGTGCGTAGAAACAGCGACGGGTCAGTAGTGGAGGGAGCAAACCCAAGAGCCGCAAGAGTAGTCCTCAGTGTGTCGTGCCACTCACGCGGTGCCTGGCGAAGACCGTAGACCGGCCGCCGAAGGCTCCACTGGGTGCCAGGAGGAAAAGTCCCAGTGAAGCCAAGAGGGCGGCGCAGCCAGATCTCCTCGTGCAGGCTGCCCTGCAGGAAGGCAGTGCTGAAGTAAAGAGAGTGTAGCTCGTAGTCACGGTGAGCAGCGACGTGCAGCAGTACCCGAAGAGTGGTCATCTTCGGGGTGGGAGAGAAGGTCTGAAAGTAGTCAACTCCCTGCCGCTGACTGAAGCCACGAGCTACGTAACGCGCATTGAAGACAGGCGGAGAACCCGGCGGTCGCTTCACCCTGAAAATCCACATACCACTAACGATGTTCGCCCCAGGAGGGGGGACAGCGTCAACGTAGGTGCCTGTGGACTTCCAAGAAGCCATCTCTGCATCCATAGCTGCCTGCCACTGAGAAGAGTAGGGACCCTCTATCGCCTCCGCGTAAGAGCGCGGAGTCAGGATGTCAAGTGCATCCGGGTCTCCCTCAGGGGTAAGCAGTACGGACACGAGATGAGGTGAAGCAGCGGCCAAGCACTGGAACTCCTCCTGCCTGTCCTCAAGGACGTCCGTGCCAAGGGCACACTCACCCCCGACGGACAGAGGACAGACAGACTCAGACTCAACAATAAGACTAGCAGCGTAGTCTAGGCGACATCGAGCAGCAAAGTCGAAGAGCTCAGCAACTAGGGCAGACGCAGCAGCGGACTCAAAGGAAGGGTCAGTGACGACAGTAGCAAGGAGACGCGTGACAGTAGGACTGGCAGCACGAAGGGAGTCAGACCCCGGGTCAGCAACAGCAGGAAGAGAGGACTTTGGAGGAGACGGCAAAGGGAGACGCTGTGGAGTAGTGGAAGGACGAAGCGCCATCCGGTGAGTGCCCGGGTCAGCAGGAAGACGCTGACTAGGGACACGACCACCAGTGAGAGTGGCACGGACAGGCGACGCACGGCGAGACGCAGGCGACGCAGGGCGAGACTCAGGCTCACGACGCTCAGAAAGACCTCCAGTAGGACCAGTGTAAGGAGAAGGACCAGGGAGAGAGGAGGCAGACGGAGGACACCCTAAGTAGGGAGGAGGACAAGGAGGAGGAAGCTTACTAAGAACCTGCCGAAGGAGCGGAACGAAGTACGGTCGCTGCCGCGCAACAACTCCAGAACCAGGAGAGACACCAGCGCCAGGGTCCGCAGAACCAGCAGCAGCTCCAACGCCCGGGTCCGCAGCACCAGCAGTAGCTCCAACGCCCGGGTCCGCAGCACCAGCAGCAACTCCAACGCCCGGGTCCGCAGCACCAGCAGCAGCTCCAACGCCCGGGTCCGCAGCACCAGCAGCAGCTCCAACGCCCGGGTCCGCAGCACCAGCAGCAGCTCCAACGCCCGGGTCCGCAGCACCAGTAGCAGCTCCAACGCCCGGGTCCGCAGCACCAGCAGCAGCTCCAACGCCCGGGTCCGGAGCACCAGCAGCAGCTCCAACGCCCGGGTCCACAGCACCAGCAGCAGCTCCAACGCCCGGGTCCGCAGTACCAGCAGCAGCTCCAACGCCCGGGTCCGCAGCACCAGCAGCAGCGGAGTCCGGGACACCAGGCGCGCCACTTCGAAGGGTGCAGCGCCGGTCGTACCACTCACGGATCCGCTCACGGGAGGGGAGCTCCCGACTAGGAAGAGAAGCACCAGCACCAGTCCCTGTAGTACGCCTGGCTCCAGAGGTACCTCTCCGGAGGCTGCAGTACTGTAAGTACCACTCACGCAGCTGCTCCGAGGAGAGGCCTCCTCCAGGTATAGGACCCTCAGGCCCAGTACCTCCAGACTCAGAACCCCCTGACTCCGTACGCTGCGGCTCAGCACCCCCAGGCTGAGCACTCCCAGGCTCAACACCCCCAGGCTCAGCACCCCCAGGCCCCGCACCCCCAGGCTCAGCACCCCCAGTCTTCGCATCCCCAGGCTCAGCACCCCCAGTCTCCGCATCCCCAGGCTCCGCACCCCCAGCAGGAAGAGAGTCGACAGCAACCTCAACAGGCTCAACCGGGTCTACCTGGGACACACCTGAGGGAGCGGCACCCTGAGCGGGGAGGGGGTCTACCACAGCAGCACCTGGCGTGAGAAAGAGAGGCGGGGGGGGGGGGAGCGGGGCAGTGCGGTAGGGGAAGAGGCGGTAGTAGGGGACGGACTCGTCAAAAGTGACGTCATGAGAGGGCAAGACCCGGCGCGAGGTGGCGAGGTAAAACTGCCAAGCAGGCGCGTCCGGGACAAAGCCGAGGAAGACGCAGGGAACAGCACGGGAGGAGAGCTTGTCCGCAGACGTATCGCGGACAAAAGCTCGAGATCCCCAGACCCGGAAACGTGACGCATCGCCAACCTCCCCTGTCCACAGCAGTGTGGGCGAGGTCTCCGGTAAGGAGACACGGGGCCAGAGGTTGAGCTGATGCGCAGCGTACCGGACTGCAAACAGCCACAGAAAGTGGGGGGCAGCCGCATGGATCAAGGAGGTACGGGCGACCTCCATGACCAGGCCAATGCGGCGCTCCGCAACCCCATTCTGCTGTGGAGAGGCCGGAAGCGTGAACGACTGCTCAATGCCGTGCTCAGCACAGTAGGCTGCCAAGAGGTCGGAGGAGAACTCACCACCTCTGTCAGAGTGCAAGCGCAGGACAGGAAAGTCC